AACTTCCAACCAAGCCAGGTTTGACTTTTGGCAGTACCACTTACTGTCACTAGGCATGGAATCCTATATTCCTTCCAAAAATATAAGTTGTAAACCTCGAAACCTGATAATGGATTAGCGATGCTCATGCCTCACTTTCAGTTGCTTTGAGGGTTGTCTCTCTTCAGTGGCTTCTGTCATACTTTCTCCTCACATTAAACAGCTAGCATTCCCTCACTTTGTCCCTACATTTCGAATTCTCACATAAAAAAATAATTTAAGCAGAGAAATGGCACATGCACTTGTTAAAACATACATAGAATTCATACATTCTGGTTTCAATAAAGTGCAGCTGGAACAGCTGGTTGTTTAATATGGGAACATGGGCTTTTATATACTGTGAGTCTTTCCCCCCTGCAATTTTCTATAATATGTAGCATCATATTAAAAATGGACATCCCCAGTAAATACCTTGCACCTGATATGACAATATACCTATTCATTTATATTGATACGGTTTTGATTGCTTACAAACTAGACTTGCTATCCCTATTCAACAATGCAGATTTTCATTGTGAATATTGTCTCTTTAGATCCCATACTAATTGCATTAACACTGGATAAAGAAATAATGGTAAACTGAGAGCCTTTGGAGAGATATTGAAGATTAATATCTTCTAAGCATGGAAAAAGCTAAAAACATAATCAGGGCTGCAGTCACACACACTAAATAATCCACTTTTGATCAACTTTCAATGCACTTTCCAACTGGATTTTGCCAGTTCACACAGTAAAAATCCAGTTGGAAAGTGCATTGAAAGTGGATTATTTAGTGTGTGCGACCGCAGCCCAGGTTTGGCAGATGTTGAAGTGACATCAAAACAATTTCAGTTAGCTGTTAGTGCCAAACAAGGGTGGGACCAAGTACAGAAGATATCAATTAACTCTAAGGTTTCAAGTAAATGAAGAGAATTCTTATATAACATTTGCTATCCATGAGACAGCTGTTGGAATTATTCTCACGAATGTGTGAAAGGAGAAGTATCTTCCTGGAATGTGTCATCGGAAACTTCAAAGCCTTGAAAAGACCTGCAGTTCATTGTTTGTGAAAGCTGCAGCACAAGCTTAACTGAAATGAATTATGGTTTTGTTTCTGAAGAGAGAGCTACCAACACTTGGGCTCCAAATTTTGTAAATTTTCTCTCTGAATACTTGAAATAAAATATAGGCCAGCCTGCTGTACTACACTGGGAAAAAGTAAACAAATCCCTATGCTCAGTAATGCATCCTATGCTAAGAAAGTTAGTAGTATTGCACTTGAGGGATAAGTTTCTTAACAAGTTACTGAGCTAGGATCATAATCAGGAATTTTAAGAGAACGATCAGTACTTCAGAAAAATAATTTTTACAGTGGAAAATTGCCCTATGCAAGCAGAGAAACATTTGTAAACATGAAACAGTTTTTGACAGAGAAGTTGGAAAATCTTAACAGTGGTAACTTTCAATGCTGTTTAGATTATTAAAGATGGGAAAGCACTCTTTTAACTGAAGGAAAAACCAAGATGTTCCCAAGCTGCGTCAGAAGGTCGGCTTAATCAAAACAAGGGAAATCCTCTGAAGGGAAGGGATGTGCAGGTTCTGGACTAAATCCAGAGAAAACAAATGGATACCTTTACACTGAACAAGCTTCACAGGAGATGGCGGAGGGGAATTGCACATTAGTCCTCAAGTAACAGGACACAATCCACTGCTATGAATAAGGGTTCCTTAAAAAGAGTACTTTGACAATAAAATTAATCAAGGCAGAACACATATATTAGGATGTACGCGTAGGTCACAATTAAAAGGACTTAAAGGATACAAGCTCCTAATGTAACCATTAGGAATGACCCCGAAAACTGCTAATTGTGACAAAAACTTTTTGACACAAGAATCTAGAAACAGCAGAAAATGACTAAGGTTAAAACAATTTAACATCAGACACTCCATTTAGTTTCCTTTCTTTCAGGTACTTCTGAACTCTTTACTCCCCATGCAAAGCATTCTGTTTATGAAAACTCAGTGAAGAGATAGTATAACCTTAATATAACCTTAATGGCAATTTAGTTTGCATGCCATGCTTGACAGTTATGTGGATGTTCTACAGAGTTTCACAGGGCTGAACTAGCAGCTAAATGTTTTCAAACAGATACCTCTTACATCCACTGTCCTCTGGATTACCGAAAAATAAACAGTTAACAATGCTTGACACTGTGGAGTCAGGGTGATTGTTATCATTGTTATCATCAAGTCCAGCTCCACTAAAAAAATTATATTGCACATACTGAAATATTAAACAGCTTTTAAAAGTGCAAACAGTACCAGTCTTTACATCACAAAGATGCACATCCTCATAATGTACTAACCCCCAAAGCATATCAGCCTTCTGGATTTTGGTCTTTCCCAGGAGGGCATTTGGATGATTACTAGGGTTGTCACTGCTGGTTTCCCGGCATGCCAAACTTTCTCCCCAAGCTGCTCTCTCACCAGCTCTGGGAATTCCAAATATGATAGGCAAAAGTTGTTTGGAAAAGCCGCTTGAGGGAAGGCAAGAAGCAGTAGGGAAACAGGCAAGCATTCCCCCCCTTCCACACTACTTCTGTGGTCCAAGCTGCCAAATCCCTATACTGCTTAAAAGGAAAGAATCATATCATGAAGTTTTAGTTAGCAACATTCGCAGGCTGGTGTCAGCATACCCTGAGGTGGAGGAACTATCCGGGCCCATGGCTTCTGGTGGGGCCCACTACTAGATTCCCCCACCCCCATCTTCCTGTGTGTCCGCCGCCACCACCTTCCTGTGTACCTTTCCCCCACTGGCTTTGCTTGCATGCCCTCTGCCATCAGAACTCCCCAGCTGCAAACAGTGAGGGTAGCTGTAAGTACAGGTGGCAGGAATGTGCAGAGGCAGGTGGGGGAGGTATGACTGGGGGGGTTGATGGTGAGCAAAGAGGGCCTAGGGCCCCCTGAAACCTAGAACCAGCCCTGCCTGAAGTTGCTGGATAGTTGTGATACTTAGACTACCAAGTGCACTTAACCTGAGAATGGAGGTTGCAGTACCATCATGAACACCTACTGGACGGTTTCTGTGAAGTTGCTGCCAGGAGCTTCACTAATTTAGCTGTGTCATTTTGAATATCAACTTCAAAAACAGAATTTCCATTTATTTTTCTGCACATTCCTCTGCTCTGATACCCCAAAACAGGTTTCCCACCATTTTTTAAAAGTAATTTTTTCTCCAGCTGTCCCTGGCAGCAGAGCTTCTCTTTACTCTTCCACTGTGGACAAGGTTCTTGCTATAGCAGTACCGGTCATCTACAACATTACTTCCACCATAGAAGCTCTTCATCTGGAAGTGCCCTAAACACAACCCACCAGGAATTTCTCATGCAAGCTTCATTGAAATAAATGGGATATGTGCAACAGGATAGTAGTATGTTCGCTGAATAAGATTTAAGGAAATTAACACACATAAATGGTGTTAGAATTGTTCTCTACCCACCATTAAGAATTAAATAAGCAGATGCCCTTTGATCTTTAAAGAAAACTTACATCCCAACAGAAACACTAATATAATATTCCACCTTATTACTCCTAGCCAGATTTATTCAATTATCTTATACAAGTGGATTTTTATATGAAGTTTTATTTTAATACAAACTTCACAGTGATAGCGGTGTTATTGTAGACTGAAACACATTGGTTTGAGAATACCGCCCCAATATAGCCAGAGGTTGGTAGGAGAGCAACAGCAGGCAGCATCAGAGAAATGCTGACAGTTTGTTGATCAGCAGATGGTTAGGAGGAAGAGAACGCTGAACTAGAATGCATAAAAGGCATTAAGTATAAAACGAACCAACAAAATGGTTGTAAGTTTAAACCGGTTGTACTACCTCACTCATTTTGTTCCGCCTATATGTGTGCCATTGCCCGCACCTGAGCCCTTTTCAGGCATTACATCTGACTGTGTGCGAGGTGAGAGTGCACTGCCCACAATTCTCCTGATAAGGGTGATTACCATTTTGTCTGAAAGAGCAATACATGCATTTTCAGCCTTGGTTATATGCATACCAGAAACCAGAACAGGATTCTAGTATGTATGTTCCAAAGCTGGAATATGTGTACATTGCCTCTTTCACACAAAATGGCATATATTGGGAAGATCGTATGTTGGACATTCTCCCTATACATACGGTCAAAAACAACACTTGAAAGGGGCTTTGGTCATATGGATACTGGTCCCAACCCTACAGGACTACCATTTCTCCTATTCTGCATTTCTGTCAAAATGATATTCCTTTTAGGTTTCAGAGATTTCCCCAAAAGGCATAGAAATGCCTTTGTGAACAACAGGTTCAACAGATCATTCATTCAACACATGAGTCAGCCATTTATATATTTTAAGTTCATTAAAAAAATCAAAAGAATATAAACTATGTTGTAAGGCAAAAACTCTCTAGAAACAGTTAAGCAAGAACAACTGTTGATTCTTGGACCAGTATCAACAATATGCCAAAGAGATACCAAACTCCATCACAGATTCTGCTTATTAGATGCTGGTCATCTAATACACGAAGCATATGCTAGTCTTTCCCAAGGTGTTTTCAACTCACGTTATAATTTGCATATGTTTCATAAAGGGGAGAGAAGCTGGTTGTTATTTAAAGGGGGAAATGATATAGATTACCACATATTAGTACACAACTCTTTCAGCAAGGATTGTTGTTACTTAGATTCTTCTACACTCCTCCTAGAACAGTTGAATGGATTAAGGCAAAAAGATTTACACAAGTAACCAATTCATAACAGATTCAGCTCATTCCATGCAGCATAACTGATCACCAGCCAGAGTATGATTTTACATATTTATATGCAAAAGAGAAATTCTTCATCCAGTCATCACAGTTACACTGCAAAATTAAAGTTTGGCAGTTCAGTTAGAAGTATTTTTATATTAAAAATAGAAAGACTCTGGAATTGTAGATTCATCTTGGTATGATCATCTTTTCTATGGCACAGATAATGTGATCCCAGTTTTTGCATAAAATTGCAAGGATAGTCACTGCAAAAAAGGTGCAGAGAATATGGAAACGGCTCCTCATCATAGGAGCAATAAACTTTGCTATGGTGGAAACACACACTAGGATGACAGTCATAAAGGCCAAGACTACATTTATACATTTCCCAAGCAACACTTTGGCATTAACAGTTTCTGACTGCAGGGCTTGCTGTTCTTGTTGATGGAGCTCCAGTTTCGAAACACGTGTCTGGCAAGATTCCAAGGCTTCCTATTGACACAAGGGAGAGGGGAATAAAGAACAGGATCAAGAACTACCACTTTTATACACAGAATTTCTACATGATTAGGGGGATGTTCTAATGTACAAGAATCAGTCTCCCTCACTGGTCATGTTTTTAAAATTAATTATAGTAGTTTGATTCAAAACATATTAGAAATCATTGTAATTCTTCTAGAAAGAGAAAAAATATAAGAACCAACATTTATGATTTGTATCATGACCTCTAGTTACTGACTGATGAAAACCTGAATCTGTATAGCGTTTTTGATTCCTTATGTTGTTCACTGCCATAGCAGCCATGTGAGAAAGATTATATATTTCCCATGAAGAAATGAGTTAGAGGGCCAGTTCTTGTATTTACAGGAGCAGCGTGATGGGCCCTCCTTGAATCCATCTCAAGCTACCACTGTTAGGTTAGAATTGTTGGTGCAAGCTTTGGATGTGGGACATTCTCTCTCTACAGATAGATACTAAAGTTATATTTTGTTCCTACTGGAGAAACTCAAGAGCAGAGGTGATGAACTCATTTGTTACCAGGGCTGGTCCTGACATAAATGCCACTTTGTCTGGCTGGGCCATGTGTGCCATAAAATGTAACATGAGGTACCAGAAATATAAAATTTATAAAGATGATTTCAGATGACAAATGGCTATAGCAGGCTTGATTGGATTAGGTGTGATATGCAGAGGGGTAGCAGGTGGGGAGATATCAGCACTGATAATGAGACAGGAAACCTGGGTCTCAGTTTGGTCCAGGAGGATTCAGTCCAGGAGGATGCAAAGAATAAATGGAAATAAGTCTGAAGAAATGAGCAGTGACTCACGAAAGCTCATACCCTACCACAAATTTTGTTAGTCTTTAAGGTGCTACTGGATTCTTAATCCTTCTACTGCTATTAGAAACCACAATGTTCAAAAAACAGTGGGGGGACATTTTAACCTTCCAGGACATTCAGCTGCTGACCTAAGAGCAGCAGTTTTCTTACAAAGGAATTTCAAAGGACTGCTGAATTGTAACTGATCATGATGCCCAAAACAATGCATCCGCCTGGACTGAACTGAGACCTAGGTTTCTTCTCTCATTACCAATGCCTGCTATTGTCATTTGGTGTCTGAAATCACTTCACTCTCCAAGATATAAAAATAGATGGACTCACATTCTAGCTGTATCTGAAGAAGTGAGCAGTGACTCATGAAAGCTCATGCCCTGCCACAAATTTTGTTAGTCAAGTCCAAGTTTATTATTAGCCAAAGGCCATCTCTTTCTTAGCAATGATTCAGAATTACAAAAATCAAACAACAGCCAAGCACACAAAAAATATAAAAAACTAATAATGAGGCAACTACATATTACAGAGCAATTATGTACATTTAAAAAATTAGTAGATAAATCAATCCTAAAAAGGATTATTCAGTCAGCAACACTTTAAAATATATCTAGACAATCAGTAAAATTATAGCTCCCTATAGTTTACATATTATCAAATACACAGAATTCAAGTTACCATATATTATTGGATATTACTTATCCAGGGTTAGCCATATCTAACCAGCTTTCCTCCTATTAATAGTCATCCAGCCATAATTTGCCACATTAAAAGTAATTTTCCTGTTCCTATCGGCTAACATTATTAAAAGATAAACTCTTCTGTCTTTGCCTGGCAGACTATCAATTATGGGTTTAATATATATTTCCCTGATTTGCTCAAATATTTTACAATCAGAGAGAACATGCACTAGCGACTCAACACTCCCATCTCCACATGGGCATAGACATTTTTCATACGTTATCTTCTTATATTTGCCTTCCAGAACAGCAGAGGGAAGGGCCTCATACCGTAGTAGAGTAAATGCTCTCCTACGGTCAGGGTTTTCTAAGCTGTTTATATAAGGCATCGACAAGACCTTATTCACAGGGGTCTCATGGACCCGGAGCGCTCCGGAGCCCCGCTCCGGGAGTGACCAGCCCAGGGGGCGGGGCTTGGTCATGTGACCAAGCCCCGCCCCCTGCTCCCAGCAGGCCTCACTACTGCATAGAGGTCCCCCATGCGAGGCTGAAGACGTTTGAGCGAGCCAGGGTAATTTTGCTACCCGGCCGTCTGAACGGTGTGTGTGTGTGGGGGGGGATAAGTAGCTGTTCGGGTGCGGGAGAAGGCAATGCTGGAGCCGCTGTTTCGCTTTCAGTGGGGTTGCACCAGGACAGCATCTGCTCTGCTCCATGGCGACGGGCGCTCAGGAAATAAGGTCAGGGCCGGCATCCGCCTGCTCAAGTAAGTTTCCTTGCCGGGCAGCTCTGCCTCCTTCACCGTCTTCTCAGCGCGAGGAGGGGATGGGGGGGGGACGGCGGCAGGACTGCTTGGCAGCCGCTGGCTCCTTGAAAGTAAGGCGAGCGAGCGTACCGGGGCTGGCGGATGGCAACTGCAGCAGCAGCCTCTGCACCTGCGCAGACTGGCTGCCGTCCGGGGGACAGGGAGCGGGTGCATCGGGCCCGGCGATGAAAGAGCAGGTAGAGAAAGAGGTACTTTTCTCCCTTTCTCACAATACAAGAACTCGTGGGCACTCCATGAAATTGCTGAGCGATCGGGTTAGAACGGATAAAAGGAAGTCCTTCTTCACCCAAAGAGTGATTAACACTTGGAATTCACTGCCACAGGAGCTCAGCGCTTTCCGGACTCGGGGAGAAAGAGGCGGCGGCGGCAGTCATGCAGATGCAATGCTTTTGGCGCGCGCCCCCCCCAACTGTGCCTTCCCTTGCAAAAGCGGCGCCCAAGGCGCCCCGCACATCCATCCGCCGGTGGGCCCCGGCTGCGCGCTCGCCCATCCACCCCTCACCCGCCCGCTTCAGGGGCTGCCTCCTTCCCGGGCGCCTCCTGTCTGCTGCTGGGGAGGGCCAAGGTAAGCGGGATGGGAGGGAAGGAGGGGCGGGACTGGCGACCCCTCCCGCCCACCAGACGAGACCCGCCGCCTCTGCCGACCTGGCTCCGGGGCAGCCGCCGCCCGCCACGTGAAGGGAACCCGGGGCTGGGGTGGACTCAGGCGGCTTGTCTTCCAATGGAGGCTCGCCGGGCCCGATGCACCCGCTCCCTGTCCCCCGGACGGCAGCCAGTCTGCACAGGTGCAGAGGCTGCTGCTGCAGTTGCCATCCGCCAGCCCCGGTACGCTGAAGCAGGGGTGTATTCAGAGATGGGGTGCAACGTTTCTGTAGATTTTTGTTTTGTAGTAGGTTTTGGACAGGAGCAGCCTCAGGAGTACTAGCAATGTCTGGTGGAGTTACTGCAAAATACTTTCCCCTCATTCACAGTAGAGTTTATAAAGTACCAGAATAACGTTATGAGAGTTCTAGCTGAATACAGTAGTAAAGGGAGGGGGGGAAATCCTTGACTGGCCTGCTAGGGATTGCACATGTCTGCATGCTTCTTTTGGTTTTCTTATTTTTTTTAAGGATAACTGATAGGAGCAGGTAAGTAGTTTGTCTGACTGTGAGAACTAGGATTTAATTTGAATTAAGATTCAGAGTAGATGCTGGAAGGAAGTCCAGTTCCTTCTTTTGAAAATATGGGCCTCTTGTACGCTCCTTCCCCCCCCCTTTTTGTTTTGTCTTTATCTATGCTCATAGGTGCTGTCAGGAGGGGACCCTTCCATCGCCACCGCCGCCGCGTTCTGCGGCTCGGAATTAAAGGGCCAGCCTTTACAAAGGCTGCGCCCTAGCAGCGTTTGTGCTGCACGAAGAAGATGACCGGGAACTACCTCAACGCCCTGTGAAGTCCTTTGGTTCCACCATTGGGACCTCTCTATTTCTTTTGGTTGGAGGTGTGTCTGCACCGCTCCTCCTGCCCCCCTCTATCTATTGAGTGAGCTGCTTAGCGACACAAGCGGCTCCCGTTCAAAAGATTTTTCTTTCAATTCGGAGGATTTTTCTTTTGTTCCAAATTCCAATCTTTCCTTTCAACCAGTTTCGTGGGAACACCCCCTTGGGGGGTGAACCGAACTCGAGCGTGTGTGGATGAACCTGAGAAATTTGACACCCAGTTGTCTTTAAGCGGCCTGGAAACCATGGCTGCGTTATAGGTTTGGCGAATCCAGCCTGCGCCGAGGTGTGCAGCCTCCTTCCCCTTGGTGAGGGAGGAGCCCTGGCGTGGCCTGACTTCAAGCCGAACCTAAGCCCGAGCTTAATCGGTGCTGGCCTCATCCACTGCACTAAATCGCACCGCCTGCTATGCAAATCATGGCGACGGAGAGTTCGTTTGTCGGTCTGCCTGTCAGCCGACAGCCCGATTCTGTGTTGTTTCTTGCTATGTTTTCCAAATGTATTGCAATTGCTTTGCCTGTTTAGAGTTGTTTACTCAATGATTTAAACTGGACCCAGGAGGCTTAGCGTGTTGCTAATCTGCATACGCTTCGCTGTCCGAGCGCACGAACGGCCTCGGGCACGGCCGTCGGCCGATCCTTCCTTATAAGGAGATCCCCATGCATCCGAATGGAACCTTGGATTGTGCCACCGGCACTGGCTCAAAGGGGGGAATCCTTTTGTTTGTGACTTTCTATTCTTGACTGGGAGTGGGAGAGAGTCCCCCGGAGGGGACCCTCGAGTGTTTAAAACTGGTAATCCATTTGAAATCGGATCACAGCAGAGGCGTCACTCGTCCTCTAGCTAAAAGAGGTCTAGACCTCGAGGCGGAGTTCACCAAACCTATAAGCCAACCAGGGATCCCATGGCTCTGCACCACACAGCGCACGAGTTCAGGTTCCTTGTGCAATGGTTTAGCCCATTCAGTAGGAATGGCCGATGGAGACCGAGCCTAGGAGGTGTTGTAGCCAGACTGTGTTTGCGATCATGGTGCACCAGCAAGAACACGCGACCGTTGTTTTATCTTGAATAAGACCTCCCGAAAATGTCTATAGTGTGCCTAGGAGTGCACTCACCGGCTTAGTCTGCTTTAAATAAATTGTGTTTATCATGGGATCTGCGAGTCCCAAGGTGCTTTGGGAAGCAAAGGGGGGAGACGATTTGCATATGCATAACCATGCCCCCACCAGTGAGAGGACCCCCTCCCCTGCCAGGACTGGCACGGTACTGGAAGCCCTCTTTCGCCCAAACACCGACACTACACGCGGCTGCGTGAATGCTGCTACTGTTTATTGCTGCTTGCCTCAATGAATCCCACGGACCGCCTCCGCTTAGGGAGACGATGGGGTTGTTTTACTCAGGGATCGGTGAAGGCTGCTTTATTCCTGGGAAACTGGGACTGTTTGCACACCATGCCTTGTGGTTTAGCTGTGAATTAACTGTTTTGTTGTTTTGTTTCCATGCAAGCAGGTTTGACATGCATTGAGCTGTCACTAGGGCATCACATGCACATCTGAAGTGAACACCCACGGCTCTTACTTGTCTGACGTCATTGCTGCCCCCCCCCTATTTTGATTTGGCATTTTTGGTAAGTATAGGACAGGTCTTGGTATTTTTCCCTTTTCAAAGGAAAGAAACCCGTCCTCCAACGTTAGCTAGATTTAGACAGGAAGCACGGATGCCTCTGTCTGGATGGCGACACCCCGACACCGAAGACGTGTCTGCCTGCCTGCCTGCTCTTTCTGCTGACGTTGCCTGTCATGGGCCCGGACTCTGTTCATGACCACACCAAACCAGATCACATAGGGGTCACCAACGCATGGACTTGGACATTCTTTTGCACCTGCCTGGCATGATGACGTTTCACTTCCATGCCAGCGCCTTGGAGTGGCACCCGCCACGTGGACTCAATGTTTTGTTGTCGTGGCAGGCCGAACTTTTAGTTCTGCCGCCGCGAAAGGGGGGACTGTAACGATATGAGCTTATGTTTGTATTTCTGTATAGTGGTGATGCTGCTTATGTGTGTCTCTAGCATTGAATACCTATGCATTGTGTATTCAGGGATTGCTGTATGTTGTGTGTTGCTTTGTTCTGCATCTCATGCTTGCCTAGAAATAGGCTGGCCTGGGCCTGCCGTTGCACATACGGACCATGTGCGTCCCTGGAATGTATCCCATGACTCTTTGGGATGGAGAAGACACCGCGCCATTGCACCCACTTGGAGAGCTGTGGAAAATCCCCAGCGAACCCCGGCATTCTTGGAATGGAAAGAGCAAGTGACCCTACTCCCTTAATCTGGTTTGGAGATCTAAAGACAATAGCGTTTATGGCTTTGGAGCAGGAACCAGATCTGCAAATCAAGAGGTGTCCATGGGAACGGAAGATTCACACCTTGCCAAAAGGCACCTTTGATGTAGGAGTAGGATCTGCATATTGCCACCACCCCTTAGGAGAGCGTCATCCCCTTCGTCATCCCCTCGTCACCCCCTCTTCATCCAGTAGTGATAGTTTAGAGGACGGGTTTGATAGTTTATGGCTGGATAGCACATGCCCCAAAAAGAGTTTATTTAAGGAGAAACTCTCCTTTGTCTCTCTGGTTAACCCACCCTTCCCATAGCAGTGCACTAAGGTGCTACAAGTGACTCTACTACTTAAGTTCTCCGGAGTCGCGACCCAGAGAGCTCACACGTGGTTTGGCTGGTCCTACCTGTGTGCCTTGGAGTTCACGAGCTGCTGCATTTCGGCTGCCCAGCGTTTCAAGGAGGAGAGTTCTTCCTCAGCTGGACCTCAGATGAGTATAGCCGTGCCCCATTGTGTCTTCCCCATTTTGATGCTTTTGTTATTTTCTATGCTGTAATTGTTCTAATGTACTATTGTAACTAAGGAGCTTGTATGAATTTGTATGATTCCGATTTTGTATGACTGCAGAAACCTTTAGTAAAGACAACATTTATTTAAGGACTAGCGTGTTGTCTCACTTCCTGGGATATAGCCGAGCGTCTCATTCGCCATCCGACCTCTGTATAGACTGGTATAGAACTTACGCACAGCCACAAACACCCAATTTTCCTTGGTAGATAACTTGGATTGGGTCTCCAGGAATTTCCTGGAGAAGTTGGCATAACACCAGAGCAAACTAATTTATGCAGTAGCCAAATTGCTCACTCATAGCTTTAATGCCAGTCGCTCACAAAGGCACATCCCGGGATGTGATATCAGAGTCATGTGACAGGAAGAGTGGGAGCTGGGCCATAACCAAAAGACTGAAAGGGCCAAGAAACAAAAAACAGTGATCAAGAGGTTCCAGTGATGTCAGGGGGTGTGGTCTTATGACACACTTCCGGTGATGTCAGGGGGTGTGGCATATGCTAATGAGTTATGCTAATGAGCTCCGGCAGCTCTTTTTCTACAAAAAGACCCCTGCTTATTCATAATGCATCTCTCCAGTAAATAGTTTTTAGCTCTAGTCAGGTCATATTGTCTTTCCATGTCTAAAATTCTTTGTTTAACCAAGACCTTAGCCTGTGCCATATTCATGGATGATAGATATTGTTGAGACAAACCAGAATAACCTAATTTGTTCCTCACCAATCTCAATCAGGGAGGGACCAGGTTATTATTCAGAATTAGATGTGTAAGACCATTTGCAGTAGTGGCCAATTTTAACCAGTATAATGCAACTGGAACCCATAATCTGGCTATACTGGACTTTTGCTCCCTTCTACTAATAAAGATTGTAAGTGGTGCTGTTAGGTTTCTTCCCCCCTCCCCCCATCTGTTACAACTGGAAAGGGATCTCTCCAAGTGCCATGGGACTCCGTCTCTCTCTCGCCTGCTCTTTCTCTTTCC